TTTGTAATTTATTTCCTCATTTTGATTGTTATACAACTAATATTTGATTTTTCCAGGTCTGTTTATATTCATTTGATAGTTTACTTTCGATATTTTTTGAGAACTGATTGATGTTGTTGTTTTTTATCTCGTATTCACCTTTAGTTTTATTAAATTGGTTTTCCCCCAAGATATGTTCAATCTTCTTTTTCTAGTTTGTATTGTTTGTAATGTTTTCTTTTAATGCACCGTGTAGTATATAATTCACTGGCCGCTCAGTGTGTTTAGTCTATACCAGTATTTGATTTGAGCTTTTTCTGTTTTGATCCTAATTGGAAGTCTACCAATTTCACCCTGAACGCCATTGATTGGGGCTACCTTACTTACATCTAAAATAAAACGATAAAAGTACAATAATTACAAATTTGTTCTAAGCTGTTATTGTCCTTTATTTCATGGGCCCAGATTTCTGATCCATACATTAATATTGGAGATATTAACTGATCAAATATTTTTAGACTGTGATACTGAAATATTTTTCTCTAGTAAATAATGCTTTCAGAATAATAATTTTCCAGTATTTCTAATTTTCAAGAAACTGTCATGGATTTGTTTTCGCGTATCTGTTAACCGACTTAATTAACTGATTATTAGCGAATTGCTGTGTTATGTCTGTCATCGTGTAGGCCTATTTGAAGTTTTGGACGGAACTTGGCTCAGTGATTTGGAACTAATTACAAGATACCGTCGCTATTCTGACATCCGTAGTTATTAATGTAGTGAACGATTAATCAAAAGATATGACGTATTCAGTACTTAGTGTGATTGGCTTTATGATTGAAGGTTACGCCCTAGAGTCTTTTTACTGCATTGTAATTGGTCAGAGTTTTGAAAATGAATAAAGAGAGTTTGAGTTGGTCTTGGCGAATACTCCACGACAGACGCAGTCCGAGAGAGTCCAGGGGCGAGCCTTGAGGCAGTCCAGTCTTGGGCTAGTCTTGGGTCAGCCTTGCGAGAGTCTTGGGGATTTTTTCCCCAGGGCGCTGTGTCTTATAGAGTGCTCGATTGACCGACTAAGACGAGAG